CCCCAAAACCCCAAAACCCCAAAACCCCAAAACCCCAAAACCCCTAAATCCCAATAAATTTGAATAATAAATATGGACAAATTTGATATTTTAGCAAAGAAGGAAGAAGAGTTGAGGAAGCTCAATGATAGACTCGAAGAAAAAACTTCAAATCTTGAGAAAGCTAGTCGTAAAGGTAACATTTAGGTTGGAAATTTGTGTTTTGTTAGGAGTAATTTTAGAAATTTTGAGTGGGAATAATGGAACTTTTTAGGGGGAGATAGAAAGAAAGGTATGTAAGCAGTGTGTATGGATGTAGCTGAGCCGGAATTTAAGCATCAGGATGAAGCGAGAGTGGACAGACACCAATTTGAGGATGATTATGGAGAGGATTTTGGAGATGAAGGACAAGAGATAGATCAAAATTATGGGATTTCTGAAGATATCACTGCAAAGTAAGATTTTGAATTGGTCTATATTGGTTTGATCTATTGTATCTGACCTATTTATAGTCCAACAGGGCTAGCTCAAGATGAAGAATTTGAGAGTGCTCTGACAGAAGTAGAAAGATATAAAGAGGTCCTTGAAAAGAACAGAGAGCTTGAAAGAACAATCATATTCCAAAAAGCTAAGATCGAAGCAATCCAAACCGAACTTGACGGAGCTATCTCAGTTCTTAACGAGAAGGATATTGAGCTCCAGCAAGTGAGTAAGAAAGATAAAAGTTCTGAAGGGCAGACTACAAAGTATTTTTTCTCTTAAATCTAGGTTCAACAAGAAGATATCCAAGCTAGAAGAAGAGTTAAAGAAGGCTAATGAGCAGAACAAGAAGCAAGAGAAGAGAATCAAGAGCTTAGAGAGTTATCTTCAACAAGCTGAAGCTAAGATTAACAGAATTGAAAGAGACACAAAGAAGGCCTCTCAAGATGTCGGTGTAAAAGATGTCAGGCTTAATAGAGTCCTCGAAGAGTTAGAAAAACAAAAGTTGACGCTGAAAGAGACCAAAGAAGCTGAAGAGCATAAGAATAAGGAAATCAGAGAAGAACTTGATCGTGTTAATGATGAGAATAAAAAGCTTGACAGACAAAGAAGTGAATTACTACAGGTTTTTAAGAAGCAGAATAAGTTAATTGATATCCTTAAGAAGCAAAAGATGCATATAGAAGCAGCCAAGATGCTTAGCTTCACAGAAGATGAGTTCACTAAATTGCTTGATGTATAAAAATTTAAATTTCAATGGAGGATAATTAGCGGGGTTTTGGGGTTTTGGGGTTTTGGGGTTTTGGGGTTTTGGGG